CGGAGACCGCAACGGGGAGGTCCGGGTCCGGACCCCAGCCGCAGCCCGGGCCCGACCTTGCCCCACTCACCAGGACCCCAGCGCCGCGAACACGCTCGATGCCCGCGACTGCGGTGGCCGCTCCGGTTAACAACACTCCCCACCCCCTGCGAACCGGAACTTCGGGGGTAAGACACCTCACTTCCGGCGGCGCGGGGCGCGGCGTGGACCGTACCAAACGCGCCAGTCCCTCGCCGCCACCGCGCCCTCGGTAGCGCCGGAAACGGTAGTCTCGCCACCGTATCTGGGATTCTGCCCCCGGGGAAGGGCTGAACAAGAGATGCGAGAAGTGGTCGGGACGGAGTAGGGCAACGGGGGGGAGTTGGAGCCCCCCTACGCATGAGTGACAGATGGTATGGTCCTCGCCGCCGAGTGGACTCAACCTGGTGGAGGACTCCGGCTCTCCCAGCCGCTGGAAGGCGGGGCATCGTGCGGGCCGTACCACTCGGAGGGGGGAGTCGTGCAAGAGACGGATTTTACAGGCCTGAAGGAACTGGAATGCCTTAGAGTCTCATTCTAGGGATATCCGCAACAGTCTGACGACGAAGGTACTCTCTGGAAGAGCTCAGTGCGGAAAACAAAAATTTGTCTCCGCCATGATCACCCCCCCAAGTTGTGTGGGAGTGAGTTTGGTCCCGTGGCTACCGCCGATTGGCTGCTATAAAGTTACGCGGACCAATAAGAAAAGGAAGGATATTTGATGGCCAATAGAAAACGAGAAGCAGGTGAGTGGTTGCTAGGGGCGGAAGGCTGCGTTGCCTAGAACTGGGTCCTACCCGGGCCGGCTAGTGGTGGCAGGAAAAGAGCGTTCCGCGGGCGGGAGATCCCTGTCCGGCCTCGGGGCACGTTTGCCGCGCCACGAAAGGGAGGGGCGGCCAGGTGTGCCCAGGGCTGGGGAGAAGCCCTTTCACTCCTGCTGATCTTGGGGCGGTCCCGATCTTGGGGGACGGACTGTTCTGTGCCAAGGAGCTGACTTCAGCGCCGCATACCCGCCCCCTCTCCGTGCCCACAATTTTGCGGTTCTTGGATTGTCCAGCCCGGGCCACGACCGGTGTGTCTGGGTCGCCGCCAACTCGGTCTGCTCGTGGCGGGATGCACCGTCGATCACCAAAGTCGATGAGCTAGGGGTTGCTGTCCCCCTTTTAAACGAGGGACGATTGCGGTTCGGAGGCCTAACGTGACCTGTCCTAGGATGGGCGCCAGGTCTGGTGGCCTCCAAATCTTCCTGCTGTTGACCTCAGCCATCCTCCCCGCCGCCTGTCGACCTGACAGTTTCACCTTGTAGCCAACCACTGAGGTGGCTCCCCTGTAAGGCCATCTGTGCATTTCTAGTGACGTCCAGTGGTCCCCTTTGAGTCCTTGCCTGACTTAACCTTCTTAAAAGTCTCCTCCCTAAGCTGCTGTGACCCACATTCCCGTTTTTCTCTCTGGTTATGCATTTGTCCCCTTTCTCTACCCATCTTTTTATTTATTTGTTTGTTTAGAGACAGGGTCTTGCTCTGTTGCCTAGGCTGGAGTGCAGTGCCGCGATCACAGCCTTCTCTAACCTCAAACTCCTGGGCTCAAGCGATCCTCCCACCTCAGCCTCCCGAGTAGCTAGGGCTGCAGGTGCGTGCCATCATGCCTGGCTAATTTTTAAAAATTATTTTTTTTAGAGACGAGGTCTCCCTATGTTGCCCAACCAGGTCTCCAGTTCTTGGCCTCAAGTGATCCTTCCACCTGGGCCTCCCAAATCTCTGGGATTACAGGTGTGAGCCACTATACTTGGGCTCCGTCCTTTTATTTACATGTTGATGTCCAGTCAGGCGCAATGGCTCACGCCTGTCATCCCAGCACTTTGGGAGGCGGAGGCGAGAGGATTGCCTGAGCCAAGGGTTCGAGACCAGCCTGGGCAACTTGGTGAGACCTTGTCTCTACAATAAGTCAAAAATTTCCCCGGGCATGGTGGCGCATCCTGTAGTTCCAGCTACCTGGAAGGCTGAGGTGGAAGGATCTCCTGAGCTCAGCAGGTAGAGGGTGCAGTGGCCGTGAGTGTGCCACTGCCCTCTCTTTACTTTTCCTGCATTATTTTCTCTGCTCCTGGGAATTCAACCCCCTCCTCCAGATGCCAGCTCCCATGTATGGTCTCCAACTGGGGTCTCTCCTGTTTTTGAAACAGTTTGGTGTCCCTTGACTCTATTCATACCCCAGCTCCAGAAACCCTGGTCATTATGATCACTGCTCCTCTTCATCTGCTCCTGCATCAAAACTGATCATTACATTTTTTTTTTTGAATCGGAGTCTCACTCCGTTGCCCAGGCTGGAATGTAGTGGCACACTCACAGCCACCGCAGCCTCGACCTGCTGGGGTCAGGCAATCCTGCCTCAGCCTTCTAAGTAGCTGGAATGACAGGCGCGCACTACCACACCCAGCTAGACATTTTTTATTAAGTTAGTCAACAAATATGTATCGGGTGTTTCCTATTTAGGGACTTAGGTCATCAGCGAACAAAACAGAGATCTCTGCCTTTGTGAAGATTGTCCTAGTAAATGTGATACACAATAGATCACAGACATAAAATAAATGAAAAATCTAATATTTTGGAAGGTAAACGTGCTTTGGAAGGGGAAATGCATAGCAGAATAAAGAGGACCAAGAGTGTGGTGGGATGCTTGAAGCAGATCGCAGTATCAGTAAGGCCAATTGGGTAAGCCTTCTGGAGAAGGTGGGTTTTTTTTTTGAGTCAGAGTCTCACTCAGATGCCCAGGCTGGAGTTCAGTGGCACGCTCACAGCTACCACAGCCTTGACCTTCTGGGCTCAGCTGATTGTTCCGCCTCAGCCTTCCAAGTAGCTGGAACTACAGGCACGCACCACCACACTGGCTAATTTTTTGATTTATTGTAGAGGTGAGCTCACACCAAGTTGCCTGGGCTGGTCTCGAACCCCTGGGCTCGGAAAATCTTCTCACCTCTGCCTCCCAAAGTGCTGGAATTACAGGCATGAGGCACCGTGCTTGGCAAAACGTGACAAAATTGAATGAAGACTTGAAGGGGCTAAGGGGATGCGTCCGGTGGATGTCTGTGTTGGAATAGTCTCTGGTGGGATGGAGGGCAGGAGACAGTGAGGAGGTTCTGGCAGTTCACTAGGCAAGAAAGGAAGTCCTAGCCGGGTGTGGTGGCTCACGCCTGTAACCCCAGCACTTTGGAAGGTGGAGGCGAGAGGCTTGCCTGAGTCCACAGGTTTGAGACCAGCCTGGGCAACATGGTGAGACCTCATCTCTATGATAAATCAAAAAATCAGTTGGGTGTGGTGGTACATGCCTGTAGTTCCAGTTCCTGGAAAGGCTGAAGCAGAAAGATGGCCTGAGCCCAGCAGGTTGAGGCTGTGGTGGCTACAGAGTGAGACTCTAACTCCAAAAAAAAAAAAAATTAATTAATTAAATAATAGCTAGCAAAAAGAAAATAGAAGGAAAAGAGCAAATCAGACCCAAGGTAAGCAAATTAAAAGTAATAAAGTCCAAAGAAAAAAAATCAATAAAATAGGAGAAAATTAATGAAACTAAAACCTGGTTCTTTGAAAAGATCAATACAATTGATAAACCTCTGACCAGATTGATCAGGAAAAAAAAAAGAAAAATGAGCCGGGCTTGGTGGCTCAGCCTGTAAACCTGCACCTTTGGGAAGCTGAGGTGAGTGGATTGCCTGAGCCCGTGGGTTCGAGACCCACCTGGGCAGCGAGATCTCATCGCTACAATAAATCAAAAAAATCAGCCGGGCTTGGTAGCGCATGCCTGTAATTCCGGCTATTTGGAAGGCTGAGGCAGAAGGATTGCTGGAGCCCAGCAGGTCGAGGCTGCGGTGGCCGGGAGCGGCCACTGCACTCCAGTCTGGGCGACTGAGTGAGACTCCAACTCAAAAAAAAAAAGAAAAATTATACAAATTATCAATATCAAGAACGAGAGAGGTGACATCGCCATAGATTCTACAGATATTAAAAGGTTAATAAGGGAATATTGACCGGGCTAGGTGGCTCAACGTGTAATCCTAGCACTTTGGGAGGCCGAGGCGAGTGAATTGACTGAGCCCGTGGGTTCGAGACCAGCCTGGGCAACTTGGTGAGACCTCATCTCTACAATAAATCAAAAATTAGCGGGGCATGGTAGCGCATGCCTGTAGTTCTGGCTACTTGGAAGGCTGAGGCAGAAGGATTGCAGGAGCCCAGCAGGTCGATGCTGGGGTGGCCGTAAGTGTGCCACTGCACTCCAGCCTGGGCAATGGAGTGAGACTCTAACTCAAAAAAAAAAAAGGAATATTATGGAAAATGTTACAACCCCTAGGATTAGGAACAAAGCAAGGATGTCAGTTTTTGCCATTTCTATTCAACATTGTACTGCAGGTCCCAGTCAGGGCAGTGAGACAAGGAAAAGAAAGTAAAATGCATACAGATGGTGAAAGAAGAAATAAAACCGTCTTTATTAACACCCAGCATGAATGTCTATGTAGAAAATCCTAAGGAATCCACAAAAAAGTTACTGGACTGAATAAGTGAGTTTAGCAAGGTTGCAGGATACAAAGTTAATATTGCCAAAAGCAATTGTATTTCTAAATACTAACAATAAGCAGCTGGGCTCGGTGGCTCAGCCTATAATCCTGCGCTGTGGGAGGCTGAGGTGAGTGGATTGCCTGAGCCCGTGGGTTCAAGACCCACCTGGGCAACTTGGCAAGACCTCATCTCTACAATAAATCAAAAATTAAAGCCGGGCTCGGTGGCTCAGCCTATAATCCTGCACCTTGGGAGGCTGAGGTGAGTGGATTGCCCAAGCCCGCGGGTTCGAGACCCGCTTGGGTAACTTGGTGAGACCTCATCTCTACAATAAATCAAAAAATCAGCCGGATGTGGTAGCGCATGCCTATAGTTCCAGCTACTTGGAAGGCTGAGGCGGAAGGATAGCTGGAGCCCAGCAGGTCTGGGTGACAGAGTGAGACTCCAACTAAAAAAAAACAAAAAGAAACAAACAAAAAAATAAGCAATCAGAAATTGAGCATCAAAAACCAAAATGTTTAATAGTAAAATTAAGTAAAAGATGGGCAAGACCTGCACACTGAAAAGCACAAAATATTGCTGAATGTAAACAGTAAAATAAGAGAAGATATATACTG